TAATTTCCCACGTATTTGTCCATGGGTAATTTCTCACGGATAAATCGGTGGGAAATTACCCACGGATTAGTCCGTGAGAAATTACCCACAGATTAGTCCGTGGGAAATCCGTGGGAAATTCTGTAAAAAAAATTTTAGTTCAAAATTGTATTAAATAATTATCCTATTTAAAGATATTAAATCAATTATAATTATGTAAATAAAAACAAGTTCATTGTTTTCAGTTTCAAATAATTAAATAAATAAGAATATACTTAGTTACCTTTTTCTGATAGAATTGAAAGCCATTTGTACCTTCTCCTTAGCTTGGTCCATTGCTTCATAAATGAACCCCATGGCTGGTTTTTGATCCGAATTAACCAATCGAAGCACTTCAATTAGAGGTAACGCACCCTTTAAACAGATTATGATATTACTCCAAAAGCCCTTATCCAAAACCACATTTTCAACTGTTTTTCCATCCTTTGTTTTTGCATACCTACTAGACTTCCATTCATTACTAGTAAACATTCTAATTAGAGCACCTTTGTTCTCATGAAGACACCCTAATGTTAAATAAGATGTGGCAAAGCGAGTAATACCTAGCCTCACCAAGTCTCTTCCTTTTGTGAAATGTTGTAGTAGAGAGATTAGAGAAGTTCTTGAATAGATAAAGGATGTAATTCTTTTACCTTTTGGAATTGTCTCCTCATGAATTGTGATTTTCTTCTCATAATCCTCCAACATTAAGTCAACACAATGTGCTGCACATGGTGTCCAAAATAGCCTTTTTCTCTTTTCCATCAACATTTGACCAGCAGCTTTATAGTTTGCAGCATTATCTGTTACAACTTGAACAACATTGTCTTCCCCCACCTCTTCAACAATGCTATCCATCATCTCAAAAACTTTTTCAGCAGTTTTGGATATTGCAGAAGCATCTATGGACTTTAAAAATACAGTTCCCTTTGGGCTGTTCACTAGGAAGTTGATTATTGTCCTTCTTTTCTTGTCAGTCCAGCCATCGGTCATAATTGTGCATCCAGTTTTCTCCCATTCATCCCTATATGATTGCAAAGTAATTGATGTATTTTTCACTTCCTCCTTCAAAAGTTTGACTCTAATCTCATGATATGATGGAGGCTTAAATCCAAGGCCATGCTTTGAAACCAAATCAAACATAGCAAAGAATTCCTCACTCTTTGCCACATTGAAAGGTATTGCATTGTTGTAGAAAAATCTAGCAATTGCTTGACATGCTTCCTCTCTCACACCTTTCTTAAACATGGTATTGATGGTGGCTTGTGTACTAATTACTCTCTTCTTAAAAATATTTATGGAACTGCCAGTGTCAATTGCTTCATTGTCTTTTCTTTTATCACCAGCTTCTAGACTTTCCTCCTCCTTATTAAGGCATGATTTCTTGATCAAATTTT